CCTTTCACTTTTGTGTTCTTTCCATTATCATTTGATTAACATAGACAGGGAAATTTCATGCTTAGGATGCCCATCTGTGAAAAGCCTGTACAATACAGAGGCAACTCTTTCAGATAAATAAAATGCAATTAAAAAAATGCTTTTGTGTAAGAAAAAAATGGGAAACTGAACCACATCTACCTAGTAGCACTAGGTCAGGATGATTACTAACACAAGCCAGAGAACCCCATGTCCTTGTAATACCTAGGCATGATGGATGACCTTTGCAGGTGGCTAGGAAAAAGTGAGTGGTGAGTCAAAGTGACCCTTCCTTGTTTTTACTTGTATGGGTTGCTTTCCCTTCCTCAAAAAGACAAGAGGCAGCAAACAGTAACTGGCGTATTGGGGTGTTGCGAGCCAGCAAGCTACAAAGTTAATGGACTACTTTCTAGGGCATGGTGACCCATAGGAATGAGCAGGAGTAACAACACGCTTCTTTTATAGACTTTGTATTTGGATGGAAATCACTTCAGGAATATAAGGTGGCGTCTTGCCTCTGTCTGTTTAGGGCCACCACACTCCCCTTAAGATTGCATCTATCCGCTATTTTGTTTTCTCATATACGTACTTCTCGGTCACTCTCAAGCTCAAATTAGAGTGCTTTCTTCCCTCATTTAAGAAGGAAATGTTCTTTTCTAGATTTATGCAGAAAAATCAGCATATTCATTTGCCTTGATTTTTTTTTCTGCATTAATACGTCACGATGCCCATAGCAAAGGTGAGCATAAGGAATGAGTAAGTTTGGACTCTTTGGGAAGGTGTGAAGATATAAATTGGATATCTTCTATTCTTTTCAGTTGGATCCAGTCCACACAGGCTGGATCAGTATGTGTTTCTGCTAAAGCAGATCTGTTACAGAAACAAAAGAGGGTGTTATGTTTCAAGAAAAGATGACAGGGGCAGGGGGAACTCACTACCTTCTATGGTACTGGCAACATTCAGGTTGTGTCCTGTGTCTTCCACCTGCAGTCTACTGGCTGGGGTACCTCAGCCCCATCAAAAGAGAGTCTGGTCTTCTCTCTAACACGTTACCTTGCTGATCTGACTCTGCTCAGGAATACAGAAAGGGTTGTTTCTCTTGAGGCTGTCAACTCCCCGAAGGTATTGAAGAAAGGTACTGAGGTGATCTTAGTAGAATAGAGGGTGGGAAGAGGGGCAGTTTATCAGTCAGAAAAGTGACTGAACACTGGATAAAAGAGGACGAGTAGCAGGGAGAAGGTGAAGTCCTGGTTGTCTTCATGTCTTTCTCTAAGTTAGTTGCTGAAATCTGTGAGAGACACCTGCCACTATTCACATCTCAAAATCTCCTTCAGAAAAGCACTCTAACGAAGAGGATTCTGTTCACTAGAGAATATAACTGCTGCTTGTGACTGACAGGTTTCACTCAGTCTCCAACCTGGTATTGCTTCTCAGCCTGCTGGAGTTTGAAAGATCTTAGCACCATGGAGGTGAGAGCTACAAAGACAGTCCAGAATATTCTGATTCTCGGGGCTGATGGTTGTTTGGTGAAAAATGCAAAAGATTACATTTGACATAATCTTGCTTCACCCCCAAACTTATGAACAAGTGTTGTCAAAAAAAGTGGCTGTCACACAGATTAATTAAAGCCACATGAAGAAATAAAAACAAAATAGATGGTCCAAGGTCACCCTGTATTCTTTCTCAACAGTCGCATTTCAGCTAGAGGAAAACACTAGGCCAAATTAATGTCTCCTACAAACAGATGTGTTCTCTTTGAAATAAATGCACCCACTTATGCTTTGCCTGCATTAAGTCTGTTACCGTGTTTTTATGAGATTTGGCAAGTGCGGTGCTATCTGTTAATATCTGAAGGTGGGAGTGTTCAGGGAGTTGTCTGAAAGGCTTGCAAGACTAGATCTGATCATATCCGCCCACACTAATTAACACATTACATAAAAGTACAACAAGTTTCTCTTTGCAAACATCAGAATCACTTGCCCAGGCACTTTCTGTGAAGTTCTAGAAGAACTATAGGGATGGACTCTCTCACTTTTTAACCTCAACAGAACAATGGATGAGTAGGTAGGGTATAGTTCCCACTTTCAGGGCTCACTTCTTTCTTCATCCTGCTAAAATCATGCCATCGGCAGGGATACAGCTGGAAGGACCTTTCTAAAATTCACCAAGGGTGCATGAGGGAACATGATTTTTTTTTTCCCCTCATCAAAAACAAAATACAAAGTCAAATATTGACCACAAGGAATCAGATTTACTTACAAATGACTCCTCCTCTCCCTGCCCTGCCTCGCTAATTCTGAAAATTACTCTGCACAAACACCAGCCTCTGAAAACACCTGGAACTGAAAAATCCTTCCATTTTAATAGGGTCTTTTTATGGCAGGAGAACACATGTTCCAAAATGGCTAACATTTCTCTATCATGCAAATTTTAAACCACCAGCAATCTCCTGTATAAAAGCGATAGTAAGGGGTCTTCTACTTCTTCGTAGATGGGAGCAAGTAAAACTAATTTCATATGAAACTTCTGTGACCTGCTCCTACAGCTTCACCTAGATTCCTCCAGCAGGATAATAAATATATGCCCTGATTTCGATTTACTCCAGACTCTTTGTATGACATCTGGCTTCAAGATGGTGGCACTGAAAAGTGCAGTAATGACATAGGAAAACAGAAGGGAAAAAAATAATTGTGCAGTGCAAAGCAGGAGGCAGTGGAGAGAGCAGGAAAAAACGAAATTAAAATAAGTCAAAGGGCGGAAATTCCTTTGAGAAGGCCTTAGGCTTCAACAAAGCTCGTCCACATTTGCAGCACTTCAAGATTACCCAATACTAACCTTATGTAAAAAGGGATAGTAGACCTCAGCAGGCATTCCCCAGGAGCCTTTCTATAAAAAAAGTCTTCAAATGTATCTATCCAAATTTGCAAGTAGCTCACTGGACGGAGAGCATTCTATCTTGCAACACTCACAAGAGAAGAAATGCTCTTACCCAACTCTTCCTTACTATCTGAAAAGCAAAGTCAATGTTTTCCTCATTATTTTCTGTTTGCTGCATACCTCTCCCCCACTGTGACTGCTATTTGACCTGTTGTCCGCTCAGAGACCCTGAAGGAAAGAGAGAGGGAAGTTTGTGTGTATGTGTACGAGAGGAGTGAGATGACGAGAGTCTCAGCTACGTTCCGAGTTGTTTATATTCACTAGAAAGAAATCAACAGCACTTAGTATGTAAGACAACCTCTGAAGATAGGGAACATCTTTCATGCGGTGCAGGAAAAGAGCAGATTCATCTAAGGGACAGGATTTGGGAATGAATGGGGAGTTAATTTCAATGTGTGTACTGGTTTTTACCTCACTTTTGCATTAGGATGTCATCAATGAATAGAATCTCAGCATAAAGGTTTAATTTAAGGGGGACACTGTGGGGGGTGCCCTCTTTCACCAATTCTGTTTGCTCTTGCATCTACAAGCCTGACATGCCTGACTGTGATTAATGAGAAACTAGAAAGGATTAGAGTGCATAAGGGGAGGTACGTATAATCATCCCTTTCCCTCCCAAGCGTCTCTTGATAAATGTGGTACCTTCAGTATTCCTGGAAGATCCTGGAAGAGTTCTCCCCTGATTGCACTTGTGTTTTCAATGAACTGGGTTTCTTCTCAAAAAATTGACAAAAAATAAAGCTGAAAGCACCTATTGGCGTGGGCGTCAAAATCACAGAGATCAAAGTTTCTTTTCATGCTCTCCAGAGAGCCTCAGACATCTAGGAATTCAAAACAAAACTCCATTGTAAGAAACCTTTTCAAAGCTGGCACAGTGCTACAGCTTATATGTTCTGCACTCAGAAGGAAAGCACTGACCCAGATAGGCGAGCTCCTCAAAATACCCATGCAGGCAGAGGGGCTTGCATCAATGGCACTTCTGGCAATATCTTCCTCCTGAACTGCTCAAGAAGAGATACATCTACTGATTTGCAGTAAGGTTCAGACCTTCAGATTTTAACACTCACATCATTGCACCTAAGTAGTTGGGCTCCATTCTACATGGCAGAACCAAAGGAGTATCTCAAATACAGCTCACAGCTTTTCTGCTGTAACTCAGATCTCTTTTAGGAAATTATATATTTCAGTATATGGGTTTTTTCCTCTTCTAAATTTTTGTATAGAACCTCTTGGTTTATGAACAAATACTGCTTTTCCTTTCTATAGCGTGTTCCATTTGAATTTGCTGAGCTTTTGACAAACATTTAGGTAGTCAGACTTACAATTTTTGAGGTAGGGAAACACTAGAAATACCTGCTTTGCAGGTCAGGGTGCACCTTGAAATTATGCAGCTGGCCCCAGGTCACACAGGACATCTATGGAAAAGCTCAAAATTCAAGTCAGGAGCCCTAAATTCACTCCTTTCCTTTAACCACGGGGCCTTCCTTGAGGCGCGTCATTCAGGTGTTCTCCAGTTAGGCTTGCTACTTTCCTGTATTGCAATTATATTAATTCCTCTTTTAGTAGTGTTCCAATATGTTTCAGCTACATTACTATGCCTAGTGCTGCACGCTGCATCTGGCATAGGAATGCAGTGTTGCTCTTACTAGGCTGTCAAAGAGAATATATCATTACAAAAATAAATAATGTCTAGCTGCTTCTGGCATTTCAATCCAAGCAGTATTTATCGCTTTTGGCTGATCAGTGCCTGATTCAATGCCCCTAAAAAACAATGGGTGTATTCCCAGTTGAATTCAATGTGCATTTAATCAGGTCTTTGCTAACTGTGCTTCCAAACTTCACATTTCATGAGCACTACAGTACTGTCTCTTCTATTTTTAGAGCATTATTCCACTTACTTCACTGTGCAGATTGATACAATGGACTTTCTTCTGCATGGATTATGTCAGTGAATGTATGTTTGTACAAGCAGGCTCTAGTGTTAGTTCTAGATTTAGTTCATCCCCAGTGTGATGCTGCCTACATGCGTGGCAATCTGGGATTAATGCTAAAAATATATATATTTTTTATCATAAATGAACAAAAATATTCAGAAAGACAATTAAATTTCATATGTGAGTTCAGTGACAGAAAGAATCTTCCACTATTCAAACTGTCTGTTCTTCTACTGAGCATTCCTCTCCAGCCTTCACAGGTGAAGTAAGACAGCCTTCTTGGGCCCAGCACAGTCCTTCCAGACAGAAGTCCTGGGTGGCCTTTAATAAAGAAAACATTGCTCCACAGTTAGCTCCTTCTCTGAGTTGGGAACAGCTTCATCAACGGATGTGAAGTGAAGGAAGGAAAGGAAGCTTCCATTAAATGTCCATAACTTTTAGTTCTTCAAAGTATTTTTTAAGTTCCCCATTCAAAAAGCTGAAAAGAAACCAGAAGCAGTTTGTAATTGCAGTTCCTCTGAAAAGAGGGGATAAAGTATGGGGTGTGATGTACTGCCTCTCAGCTGAGACAGCCTACAGACACTTTAGAAACAAAAATTACATCTTAAAACTATGAGTAGATTTAACAATTGAACTCTAAAGAATTAAACATCATATAAACATTTCATACTTTTTGTTTTTCTTTCCAAGGGTCCATAGTCTACTCATTCAATCCTGTGCAAAGGTCATGTTACTATGGATATGACCTACAAGAAATGTGTTGCCTCAGAGCAGTGCAAGTCACATGAGCAGGCTAAAAGCCAAGACTGCTGATTCACAGTCTTGTCAGGATTTTCATGCTTGTGTTGGTTTCACTGAAGAACAGTCCTTGCACCATCAAGTCTATGTTCGTCCTTTAAAAGTGTTCATGCAGGTGTAGCTCCCAGAAAACTTGTGGATTTCTTCAAGTGCTGCCTGAGGGAGAATGCTGCAGGAGAAGCAGAAAGAAAATAAGCAGACCAGCCAAACCTCTTAGTCTATTCTAATAAGAGGATGTGTAAGTATGCGTTTAGGTACACACATACATAAGTACACATATTCTCAAAAATCAGCTAGTGAGAGTGCACAGACAAAACGTGTCAGTATCCTGCTGTGAGTAGGCCTAAAAGGAGAAAGTTATATCAAGTCACTCTTTCTCTACAGAAATACTTATCCAAAAAGGTCTGTAAAAACTGTTAACTTGGAAGATACCAAAAGTTTTATTCTTCCCAAACATTGTGCAGAATCTTGCATTCTGAAATACACAAATTTAAACTGAGTTCTCTGGTTAACTTGCCATCTATTTGTGCTAGGCATGTGGCCTCCTTATCACAAGGTATGGATATAGATCTAATTTCCTGACAGCTACCGTAATGGAAAATAAATCAATTCTCACAATAAAGGAGAAGAACAGCCCTTTTTCAGTCTGTAGAGTATCTGGGACCTTTTGAGAGTATCCCAAATTTTACATTCAGAGCAAAGCATTTATTGTGAATTATTTTTTCTTGTTTGAAATGCAATATTGTAATTCTTTTCCACAGAAATCTCATGGCCTTGTTTCAATTCCTGAATGAACAGGAATTGAAAGGTTTTCCAAAGGCTTTAGTGCAAACTCTCGTGGAAAGATTTTGAATGTCCTTTCTCTTTAGTTGTTTCAGGATATGAAGTTATGACTTTGTTTCCTTAGGGACTTTAAAATTCCTGTCCTAATCATACACAAAAATTTTTTTTTATACTTTCATTGCTTTAACACAAGCAATGCTCTCTAAATATAGCTGTGATGTACATACCTTATTGTACAGAAATCCTTTACAATATAAAGCCCAGAGTCCAAAGAATGGCTTACTAAATCAAAACCAACTACATGCATATGTTAATTGTTAAGAAATTTCCTAAATACAAATACCAGTTCAGACTTCAGGAATCCAAATTTTGGGAGTGAAACTGGTTTCGTAATGGGGTTATACCCAGGGAAAACATCTACAAGGGGAATCTCAGAAAGTTTTCTCCCTTTTGCTTCTATGACTGTCTTTCATGGGAAGGGATGAACCAATCTGTTCCTGGATATCGTGTTACAGTCAAACTGAGGTTTGCCTTGGTGGACAGACATAGAGGACTGTAAGCCAACCTTGCCTAACTGGCTAGGCTATTGCTGGGCAAAGGAAATACTTACCTTTTCAGGATGACAAGAACATGCATTGTCCATGGAAGGAGCAGGAAGGCTTGATTCATCTGAACGGCTTCTACTGTCCTCCTAGCCACTGTCTCTGGCTTGAGAGGAGGAAAAAGATTAGGGAACCTGAATAAATAAAGTAAAAAATAAAATAATTATTTGTTAACCAAACTCCTTCTTTAAGATGTCACTGTCCAAGTCCTGTTACTCACTAAGCTATCACTGGTTACTGGCATTCAAACATGCCCCAAAGCAGGCTGGAAGAAGCAGAAAGTTCCAGTTTCAGCCAGAAAGCTAGAAAGCAGAAAGCCCAGTTCCAACTGGTACTATGGGGTTAGCTAAATGGTTAAGAATGTACATGTTGGCGCCTTTAGAGAGAAGTGGCAGAGTGTATTCAGAACCTTGATTCAGGGAGTTTCTTAAACTGTATGCAAACCAATACCAAAATACTGTCTTTTCAGCACTGGTGTTTTTCCTCTTCCTCTCTGTTGCTCTTTGCTTGATTCAAATTCTTCACAGGTGAAAGACAAATATTATCCCCCATTGCTTTTAAAACCAACCATAAGGCTTTTCCCAGCTCCAGCAATAGCTTGACACTACATTCTTCTTGACTAAGAGAGCACAAACTATATTAACAGGTTACTTTGTCCATTATAAAAGATTAATTTGGTCAGCCATTAGTCTCTGAATTTAGCTTGTTCTCTTAGATAGAGGTAAAAAGCAGGTACTGATAGCCTTACTTCAGTAAGTGGCTGTCATTCCTTTCAGTGGGAAAGAATTAAGTATTTCAACAAATAAAGAAGGAATTTGTACTGTTCGTTCTCAAGTAATTTGTAGACTGCTCCTTTTGAATGACCTCAAATTTCAGATTGCCTCCCCTCCCTCTCTGGTGGCTACATATAGCCCAAATACACTTAGGGAAAAATAGCTTTCAATTTTCTTTGTAGAAGCAAATGTCTCACTCAGTACAGGCACGCTGTATGAATATGCCAGCAAACTGAGGGAACCAGTCTGATGAGTCCCAGGTGGCCTAGAGTGACCCTCTGTTCCCAGGCAGCCAAATGAGACATCAAATTCTCTTAACTAAATGAAGTATTAATTAGGAGTGTATTCTGATGATTCATTTAAAGTGAGATGCTTTATTCTAGTTCCCCTGGACTGACCTGATTCTCATGCCCTGAAACATCTCTGTGCTCGTGTGGAAGGGCAGGACTGTTGTGGCATTCACTCCAGGACAGTCTAGCAGCCCCAAGGTCAGGCTCTCCATAAAGGCAAAGGACGAGGCTTTGGAGGTGCAGTAGTCAATGGCACCAGGGATGGCTGACAAGGCCAGGACAGAGTTCAGGCAAACAATGTGTCCATTCTGCAACTCCAGCATCCTTGGAGGGGAAAAAAAAGTTTGCTCAGCAGAGATACAACAAGAATTATAGTTACTGAAAAAAATAAGGTGACACAGAGACAACAAGCCAAACTGTGTTGTTCATTATGCTAGGAAAGGAATGGGAGAGTACCTTGTTGCTTTGTCATTTTCTGAAAGATTCTGAACAGGCAAAATTTGTGTAGAACCAAAACAAAATCTTTCCTAGCATGTAAGTAAGCAGTACCCACAGATGAAGGCCACGAACAGAATGCTTTGTATGTTTAAGAACTTCTTGTAAAGGACAAAGTCTTCAACAAAGTGATGAAATCACAAGAAGCTCTTTTTTTATTACTATTACCTAATCCAAAATGGAATGAGTTTCACACTAGTTTCCTTCCCTGAGCAATGTAGACTCATGCTCCTCTGATGTTCCATACACATCACTGTACAGAAAGCTACCCTCTGTGAGCTCAGGCTTTCTCAAAAGAAATCAAATGTTTTACTGGAAATCACAGAATGGGGATACAAGAGCATCAAATACTGTGTTACTACTGGAAGAATTAAATTTTTTTAGACTTCTTTCCTCTGGCCTTTGTCCCTCACATTGTTTTTTCTGTCTCCTTTTCATGTCAGACTGATTTTACCAACCATCATTTAGAAAGACCTAGTAGCAGCCAAGTGTTTACTGGCTGTAATCTGTCACTCTCATTCCCAATTCTGAATACATGTGACAAGAGCTTGTCTTACCCAGAACTGTCCCAGGGTGTTGATATGTTGTGATTTGAGCAGTGCATCATCATCGCTGTCCATCAGGCTCTTACCGTGGACCACAGCAGCATTGTTCACCAGGATAGTGATATCGCCCACCTGCAAAAAAAAGCAAGTGACTTGTTACAACTAATACCTCTCCTCACGAATCAGCAGTCACCATTATATCTGAATATCTATTATTGCCTAAATACATTATTATTTTCATAGCTTTTGACATTCTTGTCTATAGGCCTTGTAATCCTTCTGGATCACTTAAAACAGGTAGCTAGACTTTGTACGACATAATCTGGATGGTCACCCTTCTTTTTTCCCAATTTGCCAATATATTTTTTTTCCTCATCAAGTATGAGTTGTTACTAAATTCTGCCCACAAACAGTGTTTCCACAGACACTAACCTTTTCCCGCACAGCTTTGGCTTGCCGATAGACCTCCTCTCGATTTCCTACATCACAAATGAAATAATGGCATTCTGTCCCCATCATCCTGATTTCCTCTGTGGTCTCCTTCAGGCATTTCTCAGTTCGACCCCACAGGATGATCTGCAGCAAGAAACTTTTGTTAGAGCCAAACTGCTTCTGCTTCAAATCTAAAATAATTAAAACATGCTTCTAACTTCAACAATTTGATGACCATCTTTGATGTGTTTTCACTGCCAGCCCTGTTGCATTGTTTCATTTAAGATTAACAATGATTTTCTATTACATGGGGATGGGGCTTGAGTATCATAGTGGTAGCTGTATCCCACTGCTGATACTCTATTTACAGGTTCTTTACAAGCAACACAATAGCTAACACAAAAAAATCAGATCTTCAGCCTAACATGACAAATATATGAAACACTTGGCAAATTTTCTGTATCATGAAATTTCAAATCTATCCCTGCTTTTGCTATACACACACAAAGAAGGATAAATTTATTCTAAAATCACAGACCTTCCTGTGTATCTGGTACGTTATCTACTTCTTGTTCTGCATTTGGAGATAGTATCTGCTCTGCAGTAAAACATTTTTTCATCATAACATATCATATGTAACTATTTGCAATGCTGTTTTCGGGCTGGTGTCCTAGGTGTATTTCAAACAAGAGGTTCATCCTAATACAGACATTTAAAGTGAGAAATTTCAAGCATGAATTTATTTTGCAACTAATATATGCAAGACTTCACTTGCCACTCCCATTTAACACAGTAAAAATGATACAATACTTCTTGTACAAAGAACAGTTCTGAGTATCTTATAGCATGGATTTGATATATAATGAAGACATAACCAGCGCAACCCTATCTGTATTCCTACACCATCATGGAGGTCAGAAATAGAAATAACTTGAAAAGTTACCAGGTTCATTAACTTTCATTGTAGGGCTTTATCCAGTATGATTTTTCCTAGCGAGACAACAAAATCAGTCTCAAGTATGAGGTGGTGCTTCCACTGCTGTCTTTGAAACATTAATCTACAGCTAAACAGATTTAACCAAAATATTTTTTTCCTAGTATATAACCTTATTTTCTATTTCTTTTAAGGCTACTGGAAGGAATATAATTTCATCTGTTACCTAAGACATCTATATATGAATCAATCTATCCTTTTTGCTCTTCAAGCTAAGTCTTCTCAGCATTCATCATGTTATGAATGGTGAGTCACTTGTCATTCTGCAAAATAAATTACTGAATGGAGTATGTTACTGAAATCAGCTGACTGCTCTGAGAGTCAAACAGCAAGATCCAAAAGAGAAAAAAGAAAAGGTTACTACTGCTCACAATTGCAGTTGTTGAGCATTGATAATGCAAAATTACTATTTAGTACTAAAGAATAAATGCGGACATTCACGTAGTCAAATGCAGGTTTACTCTGATCAGGGGACTGGGAAAATGGGATATGAAAATGGAAACAGCTTTGTTGCTCTCAGAACGGTGCTATTTCCAAGCAGTGGCCTTATCACCTGTGATCCAGGATTACAGCTGCTTTCCATACCATTGTGTATTGACTGTGAATCTGACTGGTATATTGATTTTTTTAATGGTTAAAAATAAGCACACTTAAACTTTACAAATTTAATAATCTTTGAGTTTTCCAAAAGTTGAAAGAAGAGGGAAAAAAAAGTCTAAATTATATCACTCAATTAGCTTTGTAACAGCAAGATGAACATAAAAATTTAGGACCTGTGGTATTCCCTCCCCACAACAAATCTCTTGCAGAGAACTTTAACATGCTTATTTTTAAGGACTAGTTAAGCTTATCTCATAACTGGTACTAAAACTAATCTCTGGCAGGGTCAAAGAGCTCTTCCAGTGCAACTAAGCAAGGCTAAAATGCAGAAATACCTGGGTCCTCAACCATTTCCTAAATGAGTTAAATTTACTATTAATCCCATTTATAAATCATTGGCACATCTGTGAACATAAACACACACAGACTGATGGACTTCTATTCTCAAAATCACCAAAGGACTAACGAGTTAGTTAACCAGAAACTTCAGAGCATATATAAATATGCCAGAGCCATTTCATGGGAAATCTTATCTCAGGGGAAGTAATTTTCAGGGAAAAAGCTGTGAGCAGACTTAAAAACTGTAAGAAAGCATATGGCTAAAAATGCAACTTGCATATTGGCCTATCTTCCAAAGTCTCAGCGTAGCACCCTTGGCCATCAGGCTTCGGCATCTACACAAAGCTTGTAAAACTGATGGCTATTTACTCGCTTCTGAACTCAGAGCTAGACTGGGTGATATTTCTTATGCCTACTCTGCAAACTTGAAGGGAAATCAAGAACATGTGAGAAATTTCGCAAGCTTTCAGGAAATATTTACAAAATACTGTTCAACTATAAGCATACACACTTACTTGCTCTCTCTTTCACAACCTACATCTCTGTGGAAAGGGGAGAAAAAAACCCACTACAAAATGTCAACCGTAAGCATCAAGTTTGATGCCCACAGTTTGCACCAGTGGGAACTTCAGCCTCTTAGCAGGATTGGATCAGTCAAATGCAGACACCAAAAAATTAACTGACAAGTTGAAGAGCGATGGAAGGTAGGAGAGGAAGAGCAGAGAAAGAGAAATAACGTGTCAGACAAGGGGAGTAAGGCAAGAAACTGACCTCACATCCCTAGCACTCTAGGGTTTCACACTGCTATTGCAAAATAGAAAGTAGATCACTCACTCTTCACTTTAATCTGTTTCAAACATCCATACAGCCTCCTATTCCCAAGAGTTGCCACTGATGCATTGAATGTCAGGAAATATACATGGAAGAATAGTTAAGCAAAGGACAACCTGTCAAAGGAACATCTGTCTGTGATGCAACTCTTGGACATAACATTTTTTATGCCCCAACAGTTACTTTGGGACCCTTAATATCCTACAGGCAAGTCTTGCAAGGTGACCCCATTAAAATCTGGGCCATCTGGGGAAGACAGAATTTGCTGGTTATCCTGCTGACAGCATTAACTTCAGTACTGATTTTTTTCCATGGGAAGTTTTCGTGTCCTTGATACTGTTCACACTCAGGTGAAGGCTTCAGCCTGCGTAAGAGAAAAGCAGTAAATAAAAGACCATTCTTTTGTGAGAGGTGAAAGTTCCCTAACAACACAGTGGGAAGTGAGGTTTCCTGCTGTCACTTCTGCTACTTTTTACAGATGGATAAAACTCAAAACTCAATACAACATGCTTTTGGTCCAAATTCAAGCTTGACTGCTCCTACAATATCATACGAGACTTTAAATTTCTCTCTTACATCTGGCCAAATTAAATTGGCACGGGCTTCCCTCTGGCCTCCTAGGATATCAGATCTTACAGAGAGACAAGACTTTCAGTTGCTACATTAGCCTCATAGTTGAGGCTTCTGTTGCTCCTGAACTCTACCTTTACAGAGGGCTTTGGCTTAGAGTTTCTGTGTAGGCAATACTTCTCTCTCCTTTTCTTGCTTGCAGCAGTTCCATCAATGTTTTTCTAGGTCCTTACTCTACTATTGCCTCCTGAGATTTCTACAAACCTACTCATCAGTCTTCTGCCCTCCTGAATTCACCTCCTTCTGCAGAATCTGCAATTTGACAATTTGCTTTTTGGCACTCACAAGGCTGTGTTATTTGTAAGATTCTCACTAAACCATTCCACTAGACAGCTTAAGAGTCAGGAATAATCATGCATATTCTCATGCTCCTGAACAAAAAGTTTTGCTCACTGTTGAGCTGATGAATGATTGTGGGTCTGGGCCTGTATTTTACTGATGCCCCAGGAGCTCCAGTTAGCCTAAAGCTGCCCAGTTGGCACTTCACTTCCCTTTATATGCAAGCAAGCATGTAAGGAACTCTCATTTTATTCTTTGCTCAGTCAACATCAAGAAAGGCATCATTTAGCTTTATCCTGCCCTAGTTAGGATTTGAGGGCTCTGCATTTGTAAGGAGTCTAGATCTGCAGTTTAGGATATGGTCCATTTTACTAGGAAGCACAATTTCCAAAATGTAGACATGAGTCTCAGTCTGGTCTGTGACCCCTTTCCTTTTTAAGTTTAATTCTAAATTGGCAATAAGTGTGTCCCAACTGGAGGCTAAGTCCTGAAAAGAATGACTCTTACAGACACAGAAGTTCCTGTCTGGGACAGAGAAAAATGCAGAGGAATAAAGGAGAGAAGAGACACGACGTTCCTTATTACACAGCCTGTCAGGATGTTGCACAGCCACCCATTCACAGTAATTTAATGGTGGATAGAGGAATATTTAATTTGTGTTTTGGAGAAGTTCTTGGACAGACAGTTTTCCGTCCTGGAAAGAATCCAGCCACTATTTCTTCTCCCCCTTCATCTCTCGTCATCCTGTCCAGCCTGCCCCTCCCTACTGCACTAGACACGCTCTCCTTTCAAAAAGTTACTGACCAGAAAATTGTTGAGGGCAACAGCCCAGTGAGGCGGTTAATCCCCGCTGTGGCAGGCCCGCTCCTGGAGGCTTCCTGCCCTGTGGTTACCTCTGGGTGACCCCAGTGGTTGGCAGTCAGGGATGCAGGTGGAATGTTAAAGCAATCGCTTCTGCTCCAGGCTGCTAGCGAGAGGCGATGAGAGCCCGGGCAGCAGCAGGGTAGGAGTCTTCCTACCATTGGACATACGAAAGAATAGATTTATGATGACAGAGGAACTTAACACGCCCTCCTCTCAATTAACTTTAAAGTGGGAAAGGGCTGTGACATCACGGCTTAGTGCAGATTTTCCCAGGATTTATTCATGAGCAGATTTTTGCAAAACAAACCTTATCTCTAGATCTTCTCCCCTCTGGCAAGTCACAGAACTCCTTATTTGGCCGTAGGAAAACCATTTCAGCTAGAGTGGCAGGCTCAGTAGACACTGCATCCTCCACTCCCAGAGGACTCGTTTAACTCTGGACTTAATCTGCTAATGAGACATGCCCCGAGGTCGGAGGGGAGTCAAAAGGAAGGTTTTAGCTGCTGTTGTACTAAGGCAAGACTTTCTAACGGGGGCCTGCGCTGGCTACTTGCCAAAAGCCCCAAACCTGACTGCAGGTTTAAATCCCGATTTTCACCATAACACA